TTTGTGTTTTACATATCTATCTATTTATCTATGTCTGTCTGTCTGTCTGTCTGTCTGTCTATATCCTAATCTATCTATCTATCTATCTATCTATCTATCTATCTATATCTATCTATCTATCTAATCTATCTAATCTATCTATCTATCTATCTATCTATCTATCTATCTATCTATATTTCTATCTAAATATATGAACAACTCCCTCCCTCTTGCGTACAAACTAAATAATGAAAATACTAAAAGAAGGTATTAGGTAGGTATTTGCTCATTCGTTTGTGTTTCTTTTTTTCTTATTGTTTACATATCTTTTAATGCATTTTATGTGTGTATTTATTATGTATTTTATAAATATATTTGTTTGCATGTTTTTTATTAATTTGATTTTTTAATCTATTCACTTATAAATCCACATATTTCGTTTACTTTTTTTTGTTTAATTTTTTATTAATTCGAATATCTATTAATTTGTATGCTTATTTATTATATAATGATTGGTACTGATTTATGATTTATCTTTGTTATTCAGTGATTAATATTTTTTCGTGATTCATCTTCGTTATTTGATAATTGATATTGTCTTATTAGTATTGTTTTATTATCTATCTATCTGTCTATCTATCTATCTATCTATCTATCTATCTATCTATCTATCTATCTATCTATCTATCTATCTATCTATCTATCTATCTATCTACTATTATCTATCTATATATAATATATGTATATATATATATATATATATATATATATATATATATGTATATATATATATATATATATATAGAATTTTTTATATTATATATATATATATATATATTATTTATTATTATTATTATTTTTTTGGGGGGGGGTTACCTTTAAGGAAAATAACTCGCAGCCAGTATGCTAATTTGGCTGCTTATTCAAACGGAGATTGGCGCGCTGCCAGACGTGGAAGCGAACGTTATGATACACGAATCTAATTTTAATTTTTTTTTTTTCTTTTGGTTTCATTCATTTGGGGGTTTTGGTTACTGTGTGTGTTTTTTGTTTTTGTTTTTTTTATTGATTGTGATTTTTTTGTCGTTTATGTATTTCGTTTTGGTTTTTATCTGTTTCCGTTTTTCTTGTCTCTTTTTCTTTCTCTCTTTCTTCTCTTATTCTCCTCTCTCTCTCTCTCTCTCTTCTCTCTCTCGTTCTCTCTCTCTCTCATCTTCTCTCTCTCTCTCTCTCTCTTCTCTCTCTCTTTCTCTCTCTTCAACCTGTCCACTCTCTTTCCTCTCCTCGTAGTCCCTATCCCATTTCTCTCTTCTTCCCTTCCATCCTCCTCTTTCTCTTTCCTCCTCCATTTCCCCTTCCTCTTTCTTTTCCTCTGTCCCTCTCCTTCCCTCCCTTCCTGCCTCCCCTCTTCCTCCCCCACCCCTTATTCTCCCTTCTCTCTTCTTTCTCCTCCTTATCTCTTTTTTTTTCCATCCTTCCCTTCCCCTCCTCTATCTCCCTCTCCCTCCTTCCCCTTCTTTCCCCTCCTTCCCTCTTCCTCTTCCTTCCCTCTTCCTTCTCCTCCTTTCCTCTTCCTTCTCCCCTCCTCCTCTTTCTCTTTCTCCCTCCTTTCCTCTTCCTTCCCCCTCTCCCTCTTCTCTCTTTCTCCCTTCCCTCCTCCCCTCTCCTTCCCCCTCTCCTATCCCTCTCTTTCTCCCTTCCTCCCTCTCCCTCCTTTCCCGTCTCTTCTCCCTCTCCTCCTTTCCTCTTCCTTCTCCCTCTCCCTTCCTCCTTCCTTCCCTCCCATGCTTCATCCCAGTCCTCATAACTTCACAGCTTGGCTCCCGTTAACCTCACTTTCACATACATTTTCCTCACTTCGACAAGTTACGGCTTTCTAAGACATGTATAGCTAGATGTTTTTTTTTATGGCTATGTGGTGAGGATCTATGTGTGATGTGATGTTCCCGTAGAAAGTAAATAGGTATTAATTAAGCGAGAGAGTTGGTTGGGGGGAATGTGTTCGAAGGGGGAATATTGAGAATGATAGCTTGTTGTGCAGTTTATTGTGGTGTTTTATTATATTATTGTTTTTTTATTTGCTTCTCTGTCTGTCTGTCTGTCTCTCTCTCTCTGTTTGTCTGTCTGTCTGTCTTCTGTCTCTCTTCTCTCTGTCTCTCTGTCTGTCTGTCTGTGTCTGTCTGTCTGTCTGTCTGTCTGTCTGTCTGTCTGTCTCTGTCTGTTCTGTCTCTCTCTCTCTCTCCTCTCTCTCTCTCTCTCTCTCTCTCTCTCTCTCTATTATATATATAATATATATATATATATATATATATATATATATATATTAATATTATATTTCTGTCTGTCTCTCTTTCTCTCTGTCTCTCTCTTTCTCATTTCATGCCCCCCCCCCCACCACACACACACCCCAACCTTTAATCTTTCCCAATCCGTAAAAAAACAAGAAAGAAAAAATGGGAAAGAAAGTGTTAAAAGATGATAAAATTTCCACAAATTAAACAAACCTCTCTTTTTATTACAGGATGGGCGGCAGGACTGGGTTTACCTGCGTTCGGCACACGTTATGTGTCCTCAACACCTTTATGTGGGTAAGTATGTTTTCCTTGGGTATTTTTCCCACTTGTTTTGTGTTCGGTCTTAGCGGTTTGTCATACACACTTTTTTTTTTTTTTTTATCTGGGTAGGTGTGATTTTCTTTGGTATTTTTTTTCGCTTTTTTGTTTTTGTTTAGTTTTGACGCCATGTGGCAACAATATTTTTATGTGGAGAGGTACTTTTTTCGTATTTCTTCTTTCTTTGTCTATCTTCCCTTCTTTCCTTCTCTTCCTTTTCCTTCCTCTCTCTTTTCCTTCTCGCTTCCCTCCTTCCTTCCTTCTTCCATTTCCTCCTTCCCTCTTTCCCTCTTCTTTCCTCTCTTTTCTCCTTCCTCTTTTTTCTTCCTTCCCTCCTTCCATCCCTTTTCTTTTGTCCCTCTTTCCCTCTTCCTTCTCCTTCTTCCCTCTTCTCCCTTCCTCCTATCGTTTTTTTATTGTGTGTGAGTTTTCCATTTGTATTGGCTATGTTTTATTTATTCATTTATTTTTTATTTGATCGTATTTGAACTGTTGATATACCTTTTCGATGTTAATATACTTTATAATGGTATTCATTATATTTCTATTCATGACATCCATGATATCCACATTCTATCTTTGTATAAAAAAAAAGAAAAAAAATCTGACAAAAAAATCTGATCGAGCTTCGAGCAAATATCTCAGTGAGTCATCAAATAGTTTACACACTGAGGACAACGAGGACACCGCGCCTCGGAAGGCTTCCTCACACCGGCCACTGTGGCCGCGCCGAACGCCGCCGCCACCGAACCCACCAATTTGTTGAGCAGAACTCACCCACCGCACTGGTGCCCACTGAACTGCTGCTTACCACAACATCCTATATTCTTCACTAAATATCATTATTTTCATTATTACAATCTTACCTATAACCTGCCACCCATCTACCACCCTCACCCATGTACCGACCTTGCCCCACCATCCAATCCAACCCGGTGCATCCCTGAATTTCTGTACCAATATTCCACCTTTGTCCTTTACCGGTACCCTCCACAACTGCCACCTACTACCTGCCTTTTTTCATCCCTCAGGCCCCACCTCCACTCACGTAACTCACCCTCACCCAATCCCTACCCTCACCACGTACCACCCCCCATCCCCTATGCCTCTACCACCTCAACCACAGCGTACCTACTCCACCGCTACCCTACCACCAACCAGCGTACCACCCCGATCCCTACCCTACCCACCCAACCACGTACCACTCCATCCTCGCCCCACCCTCACCCACCAACCCAACCCCACCCACGTACCACCCCATTCCCCTACCTCCCCCCCCACCCAACCCCGTACCACCTCCATCCCCCGCCCACCTCCAACCTAACCCATCCACGTACACCCCCACCCCACCCCCACCCACCCCACCCCACACCTGAATAAACAAATAAACTGTGCTTGGCATCGGCCCGGCGGCGCGAGGCAGAGTCAGTAGAGGCTAATGTGACACGACAAATAAACAAGACCTCTGCATGTTATAGCACTTTCTCGCCTCCAGGTCTGGGCTATTTGTGGCGTAGGATAATCTTTTCTTTATTTTTCTTTGTGTTTTGTATTTTCATTATTTAGTTTTTTTCTTATATTGTATTCAAGGGGGAGGGAGTTGTTCAATAATATTTAGAAAGGAATATAGAGAGTAGATTAGAAGGATAGAATAGATAGGTAGATAGATAGATAGTCAGACGGACAGGCAGATAGACAGATAGATAGATAGATAGATAGGTAGATATAGATAGATGTAAGTAGATAGATAGATAGAAATAGATAGATAGAGATATAGAGAGATAGATAAATAGGTAGTTAGGTAGGTAGATAGAAAAAATATATGGATAAAAAGGCAGAGAGATAGACAGGTAGACTGAATGATAGACAAACAAACAGACATAGATACCATATAAACAGAAAAATTGAGAGTTAGACGGACTGATAAATGGAAAGAACGCATTAGATAAAAAAATGATAGATAAACAGAGATCGAGAGACAGATAGCTACAACACAGATAGAAATATGGAAAAGATATTCAATCGTAAAAGTCTGCGTTTCCAAATATACTTATTTGTTGTTGCTTTAAATCACAAAAGTAGAGAGAGATTATGAAAAATAAACTCGAAGTGTGTGTTGAGAATCTAAGAAGGATGCAGATGGGTTGAAGTAAGGAAGTGGTATAGTAAAGGTAGGGAGAGATAGGAATTAGAGGAGGGAAGGGAGGGAGGGACGAGTAGTATTGTAGTCTTTCGAAGGGGAAGGGGGGTAAGGCAGAGACGGAGGCCAGGATTAATGGAGGAGCGAAATATTAGGATGGGACATGGGGGTGAAGAGGGGATGAAGATGATGAAGAAGGATGGCCTAAGTGATGACGATTGAGGAGGGATGAGGGATGGAAGATAAAGTAAGATGTAGTAGTAGATCAG